GGGGGGGGGGGGGGGGGGGTTAGATTAGTTGAAGTCAAAAATCATGTTATCTCTATTAAAATTTTATCTTAAAAATTGACTGTTATTACATTATTTTAACAAATTTAATGAGTGTAAATAGTTACATAATTTTTAGGCTTTACAATATAGTATTTATTTAATGTCTGTGCACTGCAGATGGCTGCTCAGACACTTTGTTGGTGCAAGAGAAGTCAAAAGTTGGCCTCTCTTCACCTGTAGATTGTGTTTGTCGCAAATGACTAGGGCGGTATGTTTGGGATCATGTTGCAGGTATGGAACAAGGACAAGGTTCAAGTGTCATGTAATGTGCAGTCAAGATAAATGATATTGATAGAGTAGGAATACGATATTTTGAGAATAAGGGGAAAGTAAAGTGAGTAACAATAATAACATCCCTGCTTGAACGGATTTGCAAAATCTGTAGCATCTATTTTTCATCACATGTCATGTTGAAAAAGTATGTTGAATAGAACCAACAATGTATAAGAAATTACCACCTGCACCTCAGCAAAAAAGGATTCGACTATGCAAGTAGCTGCCATCAGACAGAGAGAGCTTATGGCAGTTATTGCTCACACTGACAATGCTTCTAGTTCAAGTGCTGAATAGTTAGATGATGTTGACTTGCCTGGTATATCACATTATGAAAATGATAAATCAACTAATATGCCTATTGTTATGATAGAGCAACACCTGGCTACTCCCTGGGAAGATGATAGCAGCTAGAAACTATGCTACAATTGTCAGCTATACTGACAATAATCATATTTATACTTGATATAACAATGATATTTAGGCTTTAACAAAGTTTAAATGATTCTGCATTATAAAATGTGAGTGTAAAAATGTTCTAATTTATTGCTTAATTATAATAACGTAATGATGCAGTAAAATGTTTTTCCTATAATTTTGTGTCATTAAAATAGATCAGCACAAAGTAAAAAGTATTTATATATTTATTTATATTATGAATCTATTTTTTTATTTTATTTATTTTTATTGTAAAAAGGTGACTAATTACGGGGGGGGGGGGGAATTGTTGACGATATTAATAGACGCCTTTTACATTTCTTTAATTCACAGATGAAGTTTGGCATCTAAAATAAACAACTATACTTAATTAAACTATCTTGTCATGTCCTTTACCCTCAATCCCCAAGGACCTCAAATTCAAACGTTAAATATTTACTCACGTCTCTGTCTCTATATAATTTCACTGTACTGTCAACCATAGAAGTAAGTTGAAGACATGGCAGGCTCACTCAGGCGTAACGAGGACTTATGCATAGGCGTAGACACAAAGCAAGCCAATGATGCTTATTACTGTGCAGAAATGATTGTCCACGGACCGGCACCGTTCGCTTGCCAAGTCTGCACAAAATGACAAAATGAATATTTATGGTCAAATCAAGAAAATATAGTTTAAATTAATAGATCTGGCTGTAGCCCTTGCCTTAATTAGATAGCACATGCCATAGTTTCGACAAACTTAAAATTTGGGAAACGCTGCCAAGGCCACGGCACGGGGCTTTTCAAAGTTTAAGGGGTCCCAGCCCGGGCCTTCTACCACTGCTACTGTAAGTTATGTCCCTTATGTCTCTCGATGTTGACTACCGTACCTAGAGTCAAGAAAAAATTTGAATGTTAACACATGATAATTTTTTTTTAAAAGGCATCCGCCCCTTCCTACGCCTACGCCACTGACTGGATTAGATTAGTCCCAGAAGTAACTCTCAACTTTTTGTCAACTGCCAAAATGAACTGCTGTTTACTATGTACTACTACCAACTCGCACACCTTAAATTAATCACTCAATTGTTCATTCGGCTTTTTCTGTTATCCAACAATTTAGCCACAATAATACAACTCATGACGATACAACTTACGGACCAAAAAGCGTTCACCTTAACAACAGTGATTCTCATACCATTGATGCCCCACCCCACCAAACGTTTTATCACGCAATGGTCATAAAAAATCCCCCCCTCTTTACCTTTGACCGGTTATCATACGCATGCCCCCCCCCCCCTGCTTTTTTAACTAAAATAATCCCATTTTAATTTTCTTCCAATACTTCACGTGACTATGTCATGTGACTAGGCACATGATCTTAAATATAACCGGAGACCATTACCATTGAAAGAGTGTATGTAGGCCTATTTGACGGTAGTGTTGCATAATTTCAAGAGATCTATGCCATGGTGCTCCTGGGGCTTTTAAGTTTAGCAGGGTTATTTTGTACAGCTTTGAGTCGTTATGATCCTAACTGGAATTCGTTAGATGCTCGACCTCTTCCAGGTAAGATGCACAGTCAATTTTTTTTATGGTAAAAATGAAAAAATTATTACTTATTTATTTATTATTATTAATTTTAATTATAATTTATTAATTTATAATTAATTTAAATATTTATTTAAAATTTTCAAGGCCCATTGCCATTATCAATTGGCTAACCGGCCTAAAAAATATTCTTTTTAAATCGTAGCGTAGGTCAGACCCTAATACTGACAAAGACGAATAGTAGATTAGTACTATTACTATTAGAGAAAAAGGCAGTATAGTATAAAGACAATAAAGTAATAAAGTGAATAAAGAAATTGGTTATAATTATTAAGCCCACTATTGACTATCAATAACATAGATGATAAATAATACTGAATAAGTTATAATTTAACTTAAATTTATTTATAAATTATAATTATGACTTAAAAGTTAAGTTAAAGATATGGGGTACATTCATGAAGGAAAAAGGTATATTTATTTTCGGAGAGAAAATGGCATAAAATGGGTTGGTGCAGTATCATTTCCACTTTCATATCATTTGTGGTTGTCATGGTTTGGCTGAGTAAACATGGATCAGATGATGTCAAGGTGAATTGAGAAAAAAATTATTTAGAGTAAAAGTATACATTTTATTTTTAAAAACTACCCGGTCATATTATTGGGTCTGTTTCAATTAATCATACTTTTAACTTACTGGAATCGAAGTTTAGAAATAACAAATATGATTTTGGAACCAATCCAAATTGGTAAAAGTAGGTGGCAACCACAGGCAAGCTACTCTGTTTTACAAAAAATGTGGACGTACCCCCATAGATAGAAATAGGACTATCATATTCATTAGTAGGCTATCATTGTTTGAATGTGATTAAGCAATTGAGCCCATTACAAAACTATTGACTGTCAATAGGCCGAAATTAAAATTAAGCAGTTATAGTTATAGCTTTAACTTAAGTTTTAATTGTTTAAGTAAATCGTTATAAATCAAATGTAATTAGGCTTCCTACTATCAGTAGGCCTTGTAATACATAATATAGATTAAATTAAATAAAATAATGGCCCTAATAATAATAGCTAGATAAAACTAGTAAAACTTGAAAGCTAAAGGCTATTTTAAAGTATTTTTTTTAGTAAAGGCATTCTTAGATAAACTCTCCCCGAAAGCGTACATTGGAAAAGAGCAGTATTGGAACTTCACTTAAGACTTAATTTTTTAATACATTTTTGCTCATTAATTTTTTTAATGTAACAGTAACAGCATAGTTTGGCTTTATGATGATGTTGGGATAGTTTGGCTTTATGATGATGTTGGTTTATTTTGTTCATTTTAAATAGCTTGGTATGATGAAGGCAAAATTGGAATATTTATCCATTGGGGAGTCTTCTCTGTGCCAGCTTTTGGAAGTGAATGGTTTTGGTGGCAATGGCAGGGAGACAAGGTTCCAGCTTATGTCCAATACATGCAACAAAACTATAGGCCAGACTTCACATATGCTGACTTCGCTCCTATGTTTCACGCAGAATTTTATGACCCAGGACAATGGGCTGATATTTTCCAATCTTCAGGAGCAAAGTAATTCTTAATTTAACTCAAAATAAAACAAATGCTTTCCAATATTATTTGATAATACTCAATATTTTCTTTTCCTTTCTTCCTCACTTATAAATGGGTACTGAATTTTTTTTCATTTCATTGCAAAGCTAGTTAAAGTTAAAATAAAACTTTTATCCTAGTTCATCAATTAAAAGCATTTTGTTTAAATTTTAGGTGAAACAGCACTGGATAATATGTTTATATTAAAAAAAATTAAATATCATTTTTAGATTTTAATTAATTTTTATTTTTATTTAATTATAATTCATTTAATATACCTACTTAATTAATGTAACTATCTTAGCCAATAATAAAATTCTTTTTGGAAATGGTTTTTTGAAATTTTTTTTTTTAAATTGTACCCATCACAGCTATGTAGTTTTAGTATCAAAGCACCATGAAGGGTTCACAAACTGGCCTTCAAAGTATTCATGGAACTGGAATGCAGGAGATGTTGGACCTAAACGGGATCTTGTAGGTAAGATTAGCTAAATGCGTTCATGAAAGGTAATTTATTTAATGGAAAGTCAAAAATATACTATTACTATATAGTCATTTTTTTTTTTTAAGTTTCAGTGTACCGTATACAGAAGGTCACACTTTTTTTACCAAAAATTTTCTAAAAAATTTGTGTAACACCTTTTAACAAATATCAGTTATATTTATGTTACAACCCCCCCCCCCCCAATTAACAAACCGAAACTTATGGTTCGACATATCCACTGGTGCCAAGTACGCAAGTATATATTTGCATATGATATTTTTTATGCAAAGAAATTTTTATAAAAGATAATTATTTATTATTGTATAGGTTTGTTTATAGTGAGTAGCTTATATTTTTCCTCTATGATAAACACGTTTTTAAAAATGAGTTTTAGGGAACTTTCAGGAGCGTTGTTCATGTTTATCACTTGGTTGATTGATAGATATGAATGTTATCTTTTATTCATTTTGCATTGAAAAGAAATTGAAATTTTCTTATTAATACTTATGTTTTCTTTATATTTCCAATAATCTGATGATATAAATTAATTCAAACATTAGCCCAAATAATTTTTGTTAAAATGTTTAAAATTATTTTATTTTTTTTCCTGTATGTAGGTGATCTGGCAGATGCTATCCGTAGTAAGACAAACCTAAAGTTTGGTGTTTACCATTCCATGTTTGAATGGTTCCATCCACTGTTCCTCCAAGACCAGGCTAACGATTACAGCACACAGGATTTTGTCAGAGTATGTATTGATTTTGCGTCGAAGCTCTTAATCAGTCCTTTTTTTTTAAAAATTGGTTGTGTAAACAAGCTCTTATAAATTATAAGATTATTGGGCATCTCCTTTGATTGTGTATTGATGACATACCTATATGGAATGTATTGAAGTTTTTAAAAATAATTTTTTTACCCAGTCCACACAGAGATGTTAGATTCTTGAAATGAACACAAACATTTTTAAATGACTTTTTGCTACACTGTTTCATTTGATCAGCACAAGAGAAAAACAGTTAAGCACTAAAGAGCAACAGTTCAGCACTAGAGTGCAACAGCTCAGCACTAGAGTGCAACAGCTCAGCACTAGAGTGCAACAGCTCAGCACTAGAGTGCAACAGTTCAGCACTAGAGTGCAACAGCTCAGCACTAGAGTGCAACAGTTCAGCACTAGAGAGCAAAAGTTATTGTTTTCTGAATAGCAGTTACTTGGGTTAATTTTTCATGTTTAAAAAAGTCTTTTATTATGTCTGCCATCAGACCAAGACAATGCCAGAGCTGTACGAACTAGTCAACAAGTACAAACCAGATCTTGTGTGGTCTGATGGCGAGTGGATGGCACCTGATGTTTACTGGAACTCAACAGAGTTTATCGCTTGGCTTTACAATGACAGGTGAGTTGCGTGTTTCCCTGTGTTAAACATATGCTACCCTAAGGGAAACCATTAATAAAATTGGGATATCTAAGTTCAATGTACCGATAATCCTAAAATTGAATTCCAGCTGCTGTCAAGTAATTTTTTCTATTAACCATAAGGCTCATTTTTTCACCATACATGTTCCAAACTGTCTTTTCCTGTTGTATTTTATTATAATTAAAAAATCTATCATCTTTTCATTCAACCAAATTTTCAGCCCTGTTAAAGACACTGTTGTGGTCAATGACCGGTGGGGAAATAACACCCGATGTGCTCATGGAGGATTCTGGGACTGTTCAGATCACTATACACCAGGCAAGTTGTTTTTTTCTAACTTAACCTTTACATGAACTTTTGCATGAACCTTTACATAAAACCATTACATTCACCTTTGCGTGCACCATTACATGAACCTGTGTATGAATCTGTGCATGAATTTCACATGAACCTTTACATGCACTATTACATGCAGCAGTACATGCACCATTACATGTAGCAGTACATGCACCATTACATGTAGCAGTACATGCACCATTACATGAACCTATGTATGAATCTATGCACGAACCTTTGTTGGCCATGGTGTGGGCTTCGGAGGAAATCCACAAGGCCTGGGATTATTTTTCAAGGATTATAAGCTGGTTCCCAAATCGCCTCTCTCCACACCGCTGGATAACCCAAAGGAACATCATTTGGATGATACAGCTTGGCACCAATGGCGTCGCAGGAGTTGTCGGAATGTTTCATTGTACCAATGATATCCCCCTTTCGGGACTCCATCTCTGGGTTTGATTTCAGAGTTGCCTTCTCTTAGATGAGTTGCCATCCAAGGTTAACGAGTCCCATCTACCCGGGGTGCTGGTGATGTTTTTTTGCTTGACTGGGCTTTGGCTGGAATTAAGCTCCAGACCACCAACTTGAGATTTGCTCAGTTTAGACCACTCGGCCACCCAGCACCCGCACGAACCTTTACATGAAACTATAACATGAACCATTACATGCACCTTGACATGCACCATTACATGAACCTATGTATGAATCTACGCATGTACCTTTGCACGAACCCTTACATGTACATATCTTCAATTAGTTTTTGAGACAAGGCCATGCCACTGGTAAAAAAAACCACATCTAATCTCAAATGTCATTGCGTATACTTGTATAGGTAAACTTGTGCCTCACAAGTGGGAGAACTGCATGACAATTGACAAATATTCCTGGGGATATCGTGCTAATGCTCGTCTGTCAGACATCCACACTATTGAAGAGCTATTGCAACAGTTGGTTACAACTGTCAGGTATGCCTCTGCAATTTTTTTTTTCCACTGATAATCACATTCATCCTGAGGCCCTCTAGTTGGGACAAACCAAGGTCAAGGGTCTCTTGTCAATTTGTTCTGTCACAACCTTCTCAATGTCTCCCCTGTCTTTTCCATCACTTACTTCATGTGTGGACCTTCATGTGTTTTTGGCCACCCCCCACACACACATCCTCTTACCCCTTGAGGGTTCCTTGTCAATATTTGTCTTTTTTTTCTCTGAATTTCTGTCAAATCCACCTGTTTTAATTCACTTAGATTAAATGCGCAGATTTAATTTTTTCTCCCTAAATATAATCTTTTACAATTTTTTTAAGCCTTGGAGGAAATTTACTGATTAATGTAGGACCCACTTCCTATGGTGAAATTGGCCCCATTTATGAGGAAAGGCTTAGGCAACTTGGAACCTGGTTGAAAGTCAATGGAGAAGCCATTTATAAGACTAAAGTTTGGACATATCAAAATGATTCCATTGCAACAAATGTTTGGTAAGTCATTCTTGTCTTAAGTAGTACTTATGATGGCTAGTGAATGAACATACAACACTTAATATTGCTAATGAGTAGTTACAACACTTAAGATGGCTAGTGAATGAACATACAACACTTAATATTGCTAATGAGTAGTTACAACACTTAAGATGGCTAGTGAATATTTACATACAACACTTTAGATGGGCTAATAAATAATTACAAGGACAGACTAAATTAATTTATTTCACATAATAAATGGTTTGAAACCTTGATAAAAATTAAGTTGATTTGGGCCAGATGAATTCTTGTATAACTGTTGAACTATTTATCCTTTCAGGTACACCTCAAGCTCCAATGGCACAGACGTGACTGTGTATGCCTTACTCCTGGGCTGGCCCGTCAACTCTACGATAACCCTGGGAAACCCCATTGCTGCCGCCAACACTGTGGTGTCATTGGTCGGGTATCAGGGTCAGCTGAGCTATAAGCCCGTATCCGGGGGTGGTATCACTGTCACTATTCCTCCCATCGCTCCCAACGAGATGCCATGTGAGTGGGCCTGGGCCCTGCGACTGGAGGGACTCCAGAATCAGAAACCTAATCTGAACTGGAACATGTTGAGTCGTAATGTCCAGTCTATAGCAATGAAGAAAAACTTTTGAGGTAGTTGAGCATTTAGTTGAAGTACAATTCAATTCAGCTGGTAATCTTGATCTAATTTTGATAAATTCTGGCCATGACATCACTTTTTGATTTAAACTTTATTTGAACTGTAAAGATAAAGATGATTTTTGTCGTGCATTTCTGTTGGTTTACTTCATATCGGGTATACTCATAATACCGGTACTGCATAAGTAAATCTGATGCTAATATTTTTTTTTTTTTTTTAAACTGCCAAAATTGTCATTGTTTGAGATCGGACACTTTCAATGTCACTTTGTTCTCAGTGTCTTAGAATTTTCCATTGTATTTCTCATTTTTTAAATTTCTATATGGCATGTGAAATCCACAGAATGTTCTGAAATGTATTGTATTTATCTATACACCTAGTTTGATACCTCGGCTATTCTTCTGTTTCACTGCTTTGTAAATTGCCTATTAATACAATAGTTGTTTGAGGTTTCTCTGTTCGGGCACATAATGATAAATCTTTTACATTCCATTGACCCTTTTGTGATCGACAAGCCTGAGTATTTTGTGATCGACAAGTCTGACAATTTTGTGAATGACAAGTCTGACCCATCAGTTAAATCTGCTAATTTTTATATTTATTGATGTGTAACTATTTAATTAAATTAAAATCTTTCTGCTTTTAAAAAAGGTACTTTTTTGTTTAAATTATGTGCTTATGCTGTTGCTTCCATGTGGTGTGCATGCTTCTGTCATGTGGTGTGCATGCTGATGTCATGTGGTGTGCATGCTGATGTCATGTGGTGTGCATGCTGATGTCATGTGGTGTGCATGATGCTGTCATGTGGTGTGCATGCTGCTGTCATGTGGTGTGCATGCTGATGGCATGTGGTGTGCATGCTGATGTCATGTGGTGTGCATGGTGCTGTCATGTGGTGTGCATGGTGCTTCCATGTGATGTGCATGCTGCTTCCATGTGGTGTGCATGCTGCTTCCATGTGGTGTGCATGCTGCTTCCATGTGGTGTGCATGCTGCTGTCATGTGGTGTGCATGCTGCTGTCATGTGGTGTGCATGCCACTGTCATGTGGTGTGCATGCCGCTGTCATTTGGTGTGCATGCTACTGTCATGTGGTGTGCATAATTTTTTTCAACATGAGGTCGTGATTATGAAGTTAAATGTGGTGAATACTCCTCAAGTTTTTCTTACTGAATTTTGACAGGCAGCAAGCAACCTCGAAGTTAATGGTCTTTTCAATGTTGGAGCCTATGAATTCAATGTTTATTTGAATGTTAAAGTGGCTTCATGTAGGCCGACTAATTAAGCTTTGTAGGCCTTCAAACACTATGACCTGCAACTAGGTCATTCATTGTGTTTGGGCCTGTCCAATTAAACATGGGATCGGCAACCCTTTTTTTTAGTAAGGAGTCAGTTTTTGTAAATTATATCGGCTAAAAACATTTGAGACAGCATTGCCAAATGTAAAAATTTGGTTTTTAAAAAACAGGGCGCCTTTTTTTCAAACAGCTGCCTGAAATACAGGGGCCGTAGAATGCCCACCACTGATTATAACCATCCATACCTTTGCTTATTTTAAAATTTGTCCTCCACAATCTCCTGATGCCTATTTCAGTATTGACCTCGGTCTTCTTTAAGTGCAAGATATCACCTTGGGACCTGCTAGATTGTTTTTTCACTATTCTTTAAGTGCAAGATATCACATTGTGACCTGCTAGATTGTTTTCTCACTATTCTTTAAGTGCAAGATATCACCTTGGGACCTGCTAAGATTGTTTTCTCACTATTCTTTAAGTGCAAGATATCACCTTGTGACCTGCTAGATTGTTTTCTCACTATTCTTTAAGTGCAAGATATCACCTTGGGACCTGCTAAGATTGTTTTCTCACTATTCTTTAAGTGCAAGATATCACCTTGTGACCTGCTAGATTTTTATCCTGACAAGCTCAAGTTTTGCTAAGATGTGTCTGAGCTAGTTTTAACTGGTTTATCTCACTGACATAAAACTGCTGGGTTCAAGGATTCATCTATCTTGTACCCGTATTGACAACACGTGACTCCAGGATAAAGGGGACTTAATTTCAGCTTCAAGTTCTTCTAAGAGTGACCACTAGTTACCATTGGTACTTGATTTTTAAATCAGTGGGGTGAAAATCTGTGACATAGTTAACTAGTACTGGCCCATATTGAAAAGGAGCAAGTCAGCATGTAAGAGGGTGATGAAAGTAATGTTTAAGTCAGCATGTAAGAGGGTGATGAAAGTAATGTTTAAGTCAGCATGTAAGAGGGTGATGAAAGTAATGTTTAAGTCAGCATGTAAGAGGGTGATGAAAGTAATGTTTAAGTCAGCATGTAAGAGGGTGATGAAAGTAATGTTTAAGTCAGCATGTAAGAGGGTGATGAAAGTAATGTTTAAGTCAGCATGTAAGAGGGTGATGAAAGTAATGTTTAAGTCAGCATGTAAGAGGGTGATGAAAGTAATGTTTAAGTCAGCATGTAAGAGGGTGATGAAAGTAATGTTTAAGTCAGCATGTAAGAGGGTGATGAAAGTAATGTTTAAGTCAGCATGTAAGAGGGTGATGAAAGTAATGTTTAAGTCAGCATGTAAGAGGGTGATGAAAGTAATGTTTAAGTCAGCATGTAAGAGGGTGATGAAAGTAATGTTTAAGTCAGCATGTAAGAGGGTGATGAAAGTAATGTTTAAGTCAGCATGTAAGAGGGTGATGAAAGTAATGTTTAAGTCAGCATGTAAGAGGGTGATGAAAGTAATGTTTAAGTCAGCATGTAAGAGGGTGATGAAAGTAATGTTTAAGTCAGCATGTAAGAGGGTGATGAAAGTAATGTTTAAGTCAGCATGTAAGAGGGTGATGAAAGTAATGTTTAAGTCAGCATGTAAGAGGGTGATGAAAGTAATGTTTAAGTCAGCATGTAAGAGGGTGATGAAAGTAATGTTTAAGTCAGCATGTAAGAGGGTGATGAAAGTAATGTTTAAGTCAGCATGTAAGAGGGTGATGAAAGTAATGTTTAAGTCAGCATGTAAGAGGGTGATGAAAGTAATGTTTGGAGATGAAGCTTGTGGTGGAGGGTTTTAAATAACGTAATTTTGAAACAGCTGAACGATCAAGAACTATTAAAAATAACTGAAAACTTTTTAAACCGCATTTATTTATTTAACTTACGTGGGTTATTTGTTGTATTTGTAATTCTATCAGCCATATTCCTCTAAGATTCCCGGCATCCTAGAGAGCTGACATTTTGTACAAAGCTTACGCTCGCGGTACATTTGATGTATTCGACTATCTGATATCGTTCCCTTTTCTTACTTCCGGCATCCTAGAGAGCTGACATTTTGTACAAAGCTTACGCTCGCGGTACATTTGATGTATTCGACTATCTGATATCGTTCCCTTTTCTTACTTCCGGCATCCTAGAGAGCTGACATTTTGTACAAAGCTTACGCTCGCGGTACATTTGATGTATTCGACTATCTGATATCGTTCCCTTTTCTTACTTCCGGCATCCTAGAGAGCTGACATTTTGTACAAAGCTTACTCTTGCGGTACATTTGATGTATTCGACTATCTGATATCGTTCCCTTTTCTTACTTCCGGCATCCTAGAGAGCTGACATTTTGTATAAAGCTAACGCTCGCGGTACATTTGATGTATTCGACTATCTGATATCGTTCCCTTTTCTAAATTTCTTCTATAAACGTGGGAAGTAAAAAAATAACAACTTGTTTAATAGTAGTCTCCTTGTGAGTTTCACTGTCTTATTTGAGTAGTTTAGTTTGCTCTGCTTATAGAGGGCATTGCTTCATTCATCTTTGAATCAATGTCTTATTTGGGTAGTTTAGTTTGCTCTGCTTATAGAGGGCATTGCTTCATTCATCTTTGAATCAATGTCTTATTTGGGTAGTTTAGTTTGCTCTGCTTATAGAGGGCATTGCTTCATTCATCTTTGAATCAATGTCTTATTTGAGTAGTTTAGTTTGCTCTGCTTATAGAGGGCATTGCTTCATTCATCTTTGAATCAATGTCTTATTTGGGTAGTTTAGTTTGCTCTGCTTATAGAGGGCATTGCTTCATTCATCTTTGAATCAATGTCTTATTTGGGTAGTTTAGTTTGCTCTGCTTATAGAGGGCGTTGCTTCATTCATCTTTGAATCAATGTCTTATTTGAGTAGTTTAGTTTGCTCTGCTTATAGAGGGCATTGCTTCATTCATCTTTGAATCAATGTCTTATTTGAGTAGTTTAGTTTGCTCTGCTTATAGAGGGCATTGCTTCATTCATCTTTGAATCAATGTCTTATTTGGGTAGTTTAGTTTGCTCTGCTTATAGAGGGCGTTGCTTCATTCATCTTTGAATCAATGTCTTATTTGGGTAGTTTAGTTTGCTCTGCTCAAATAGGGCGTTGCTTCATTCACCTTTGAATAATAAATGGATTAAAGTTCAGAAAATCACTTAAAAATTTAACATGGATCTTTATTTTCGTCTCAGATTCTTTTCTTTGGAAACAAAAGTTATTTTAGGAATTTAAACCCTTCCCATGAATTACTGTGTCATTAATGATGGCCAGGTAATACAAAGTAAATGAATTACTGTGTCATTAATGATGGCCAGGTAATACAAAGTAGATGAACTAATGTGTCATTAATGATGGCCAGGTAATACAAAGTAAATGAATTACTGTGTCATTAATGATGGCCAGGTAATACAAAGCAGATGAACTACTGTGTCATTAATGATGGCCAGGTAATACAAAGTAGATGAATTACTGTGTCATTAATGATGGCTAGGTAATACAAAGTAGATGTGCAATGGTGGAACTTGGCTAAGTTGCCTTAAGCCCCCCACCCCAAACTGCAATGGTTGAACTTGGGGTAGTTGCCCTGAACCCCACTCCCCCCCCCCACCATCTTGCTGATTTTGCATTCCTATCACCCCTCATACAACCACCCCCCCCCTCAATTCATGTTACTATCTGCTGTGCCGGAGCTCCGCCATCCTAGGTGTGCAAGTTGTGGTCCTTTCCTTTGGTATCACCATAAGTTAAGGCCCTTTCTGTTGCTTACATTTTAAAATCTCAAGTAAAGAAAATGTCATCCTAATTTTAACCACGAAAGTCCCCTAAGACTCACTAAATTCAATATAGTATGATGCGTATGTCGTTCTTAGTTGTTGTTGTTTTTTTAACGAAACCCCTATTTTTTTTAAAGTACGAATAATGCAGGCCTTTCTATTTATATTGGTTCCCCTATGCCTATATGTGTGATGAATCACTTTTTTTGATTAGCATCACAACTTAATGATCACTATCACGCCTGCTGATTACTTTGTACAGGTGTGTGCGTTTTTTTAAAAAAACTGTTGACATACTTATTTTTTAAAATAATTGATCGTCTACTTTCATAAATTTTAAATGACTCATGATCTGGATAGTGGAGAAATGAAAATTGTTAGGCATATATAAATAATGGTGTCTATTGTAGTGTGGGGAAAGTTATCTATAAAGTGAAATCTGGCCTTTATGATAAGGCCAGTCAGTAGGCCTTTATATTGACCTTGATGTGACAAGCGCAGACGTACTGATGTTGTTTACGACTTGACCCCTGTGTTCAGTTAACTTGTTCGATGCTATCATCGAAGGTCAGATCGCAGCAAGCGAAAGGTTTTATGTGGTCAGCGTGGCTTTCTTTTCTGTGGAGCCCAGATAACAAGGATTAGCTGCCCATGTGATC